TGTGACAGTGATGTGGGGGCAGGTGTGGTCCAGACAGCAGGTTGCTGAGCACCAGACAGTCTTTTCGGACGGCCGTAGCATTATGTAATAAAACATAATGCTGGATTTGTGTCTTAAAATACAAACTATGCAGCACATGTGATCAGTTTTTGGCATAGGAGATGGAGTTCACTTTATATGTGAAGCTCATTTTAATTTGGTCAAAACAGGGATTGCGGTCGACCCACTTTATAAAAGTACGAATCAAAATATTGAACGTTACAACACCCTACAACACTGCCGGGTAATGTTGTCATTACCTTACGCAGTGACGCCCTTCCCACGGCTCTGGAGGCTGTCCTGGCCGACGGCAGCCGATCATTGGCTGATACCGGAGGCTCGTCAGCTGCATAAACTCACCTGTGCTGCTCCATGGTCTCCCCCTCTGCGGCTGACACCCAGCCTGCTTCACCGTGCACACCCCTTTACCTCAATGCACCGTGGACATGTGGTTAAACGGCACACTTGTTTTAATAAATCGCCCCAGCGTTCCGTGAGTCCATAGAGTGTGTTTATAGATGTTTGTGGCTTTCGATTGCTAACTGTTCGACTCAACCAGCCAAAAGAACACTTCTTGTGATGTCGCGATGTTTCTTTTTCTCACTGTCGGGTCCAGTAAGTGGCGGTTCTGTGGGTAACAGTAACAAGGAACAGTGGATGGAAGTCGGTTTTTCTTTGAGTTCATAGATCACAATGAATCCTTGCCTGGAAGTAGATGCACGGCATTTACTCATTGTGTGATTTCAGATGTTAAACCTTGTTTAAAACATTTTTGAAAGGGGAGTTGTGCTCAGGTGTGTATCATTAGAAACGTATATACATGAATATAAACATCAATGTCATCGGTACTGAGTGAAACTGCACAAGGGCAAATGCTACCAGTTGATTGATTGGATTTATTGATCTCTGTTTTATAAACCATCGCTCATACATTATGGACCACTTATGATATTAATATTTCTCTTGGATGGCAATTTCCTAGTATCATTGTTCTGATTAATATTGTTAGCAGGAGAAGAGGATGCTTTGATATTATTGATATAACAACATTGTGGGCTTGGGAAACGTCTAAACCAATCCCCCAATTCTCTTCTTCCTCTTAGAAATATGCCATGGGTGGGTGGGCAGATTGTGGGGTAAAAATAAAGAGCAAGGAGAATGAGTCACCATTCCCTCCATCCCAGTCTGGATATAAATACACCCTCATAGACATACGCGTACTCGTACGAGGCGCCACGCGTGGCTGACGTTACATAAGCTGGAGCGTGGGAGGTGTGATGCGAGGCATGATTAATTCATCGGTGTGGGACTCGAGTGAGGAGTAGCTCTTAAAAACGAGCCCCCACCCCCCCGAACGTAGCTGCTGTTTGGGTTTGAAGTTGATGCTCCGTCCTGCGTGGACAGACTCTGAGAATCCGAGTGTTGACAGAGGCTCGAGTGAACTGACAGTCGGCCCGGAGGCTGCGGCGCCGAGCACTTATCAACCCTGACAGGAAGTGAAGCCAAAGATCAGGTTGTCATAGTATTTGAGCAGAAGTGGAGACGCAAGGATGTGCTGAGAAATGTCCTCGCCGTTGAACCAAGGATGGCGTGCGTGATGCGTACATTTCAATTAGAAGTCACGCTGAACCCATGTTTTTCTTGGTACTTTCTAAATAGCTGACGGAGCCAGCCAACACGGAGAACTTAATTATTCACCAGGACCTGTGTTTGTGTCCACCTGTCCCAGAGACGGCCAACAGTGTCTTTTAGCAAGGTAAAAAAAGAATAAACCGTGAGCTGAAAGATGCCAAAATGCAATGAGCCGTGCGTCATTGTACACGAGGAGACACAAACAGCCGTCTCCTGACCTGTTGTTATTTGACCCGGCCATCTTCACTTCGTACTAGTGTGGACTTTGCCTCTTTTTTCACCACGTTACCACATTTCCTTGGAGTCAGCACTGCACTGGGGTGCTATCGTGCATTTTTTAAACCTGGCACCACAAAATTGAACAGCATTTTCCAGAGTGTTTGTAAAGATTTTATTTTTGACTGGATATCATCTCTTCCTGACTAATGAAATAAAAGCTTTGGGGGGTCGGATGGATAAATGTGTAAAAGAGTTCCGGCTGACATGTGTTTCTTGTTTCATCCACAGGGGGCGATAGAGAGCTAAATTAAACCAGTGACTGCTGTATGATTCATGGTTTTCCACTTCAGTCAAAGCAGTGGTACTTTACCAGAATGAATGCTGCATCATTCGAAAAACAATTTACATCCTTACACTTTTACTTGTCTGTAACTGGGTGGATGGGGAAGCCGCAGCTTCAGCGGCGATGAAGCGTGACAGCTGCCGGCATTTGATTTTGATTACAGCTAAACGATTGAAACGACTTTTATTCCCACGTCGTCCGTCAGCAGCGATCAGACTTGACTGTGAAAGAAGATGTTGATTTGGTCCTTGGAAGAAAGTCGGCGTCCGAAGTTTTAAAGAAAGCATCTGAAGTATTCTGCGTGACCTTGACAGTTGTGTTAAGTAAGAAGTGACCTACTTTCACACTGAATTTCATAAGGGAACAAACAAGTAACAATCATATTCTTCTGTTGATGTCAGATGTTTGTCGGTTAAGGGACGACACCGAAGTGAAACAAACCAGTTTAACCAGTCAACTGAAACAAAACAACCGGCTTCAAATAAACCACACACATATAACAGCATGCATAGCGCTTGAACATTTAAAATGTTCTAGTTTGAGTATGTTTCCTTGTACTGTTGTATCTGTTCTGCGCAGTTGGAGGTAGAATAAATGACAGGGTTTATGGCAACTAACGGCAGATGAATGGGGCTTTAATGTGACACAAACATGCGCGTGGGGGTGTGAGGTTATAAACGTCACACGCGCGAGGCATTGACCTCGCAGCACTCAGCGAGCAATTAATAGATCAATACATCTGACCTCCGGATGTCTTTACTGTTTACCCTCCTCTTGTTCCACAGGCTCACAGGGGCAGCAGAGGGATATTAAGTGCTGCATGTAGCTCATAAATCAGCTGATGTATGAAGCACCAGGCGAGCTGCATCCTCTTCAGCAACGCTTCTGTCTCTTTCTTTCCTCTTCCTTTTTTTCTGTTTTCTCAGTGAAGCATCGGAAAGTAGAAACAATAGAGCTGACTTGATTCTTTTTCCCCTGTTTTTTTTATTCATTCCTTTTTCCCTCCGTCTTCTTCCCGAGGATGTTTTCCAGCACTTCAGAGTGCAAACAAGTGGAAAGGATTTTAAATGTAAAGGGATGGAATAGTTACATAAGAAGTGAACTCGGAAGCGTGCACTGGCACATTGATGGGTCTTGACAACCCGTAGGTGCTTTGTCACATTGGAGATGTTGGTTTCTCATGTGCTGTTTTAAAAAAAGAAGTAGGACATATGCCAGTAAAAAGCTTCATTCACTTTCACTTCTCTATTCCCACGGGTCAATACAATCCTTTTAAAATGAAATAATGAGAATCTAAGAAATGTAAGACACAAAGAAATGTTTCGTAAATTAATCATTAGTACTTTTTTTTTTCTTTTCTATTTTAATGATTTGTAAACCCAGTAAGAACTAACACACTTAGTCTAACAAGGCCTCATAGGCTCTCTAGCGTACTTACTTAATCAATAGTGGCGTAATGTGTGTGTGTGTGTGTGTGTGTGTGTGTGCGCATGGGTGGTCCCTGCTATTCTGCCTAAAATTGTATTTTCTTACATTTTATGACTAAAAAAGTATTTTATTTAAAATGACATTATTTTTCAGTTCGAATTCTCTAGTTGAAATGCTACTTTGTGTATACAATAACAACAACAATAACAAACACAGTTGCCAGTGACTTAAATCCCTTTTTTCCCCATTTTGATGCTCAGCCTGAACTTCAGTAAGTTGTCTTGACCACGTCTACCTGCCTGAATGCATTGAGTTGTTGCCGGCCGCTGAGTGTATATATATATATATATATATATATATATATATATATATATATATAGTTGTGGTATGATGTGTTTTCGGAGGTATTGTTTTTTCGCAGGGGGCAATCTCACAAGTAGAAGACAACTGTGTGTTGTGGATTTGGGGGGGAAACGTTTCTTTTAACTAGCATTCCAATAATAAAAAATTCCTCTTCTACTCCACCCTGGGATGGAATTATTGAATTTCTCTCCCCACATTTACTGTCGTATAAACACTCAAAGCACTTTCCCTTATTAGTGCAGCCCGGCCTCACCAACACCAGGGACTTTTCCCTCACGTGGTAACGTCACTGGAAATGTTGACACCTCACCAGCCCGCCCGCCCCAAAGCTACACTCCCCTCCAGCATCTGGGTTTTTGCGTGTCCGGCCTCGGCCCCCCCACATCCCTTTACGCGGCGATGTCCTCGGCGTCTCGCTCTGCAGGCTCTGCGCCTGCAGCAGAATGGAAACTCGGCCGGGCCGTCGTAAAAATCCACTGGCACCAAGTCTGTGGCAGTGACTCCACCCACGGCCGGGCTGCTGGACGTGCTTTAAAGAGTGGCTGAAATAACCTTTTTCCCTTCTGGACAATAAGTAGGTCACATGGGAACGGTGGGGGGAAAATGTCAGTGTGTGTGTGGGGGGACGGTATTTTTCCTAAGGGCTCATTTTGCATGGCATTGAGAGCCTGCAGGGGCAGAGCAACCTGTTGAAAAAGGCTGTTCACCTCAGCCAGCCCCTCTTCTGTTTCCGAGAAGCAGCGCTGCGCGTGAAGCACGTCGGGAAAAGTGATTTTCTCGGCAGTGATTAGTGTAAAATGTTCCACTTCAGCTCCACTGATTAAACATCAAATCCACATACGGTGCGATTCTCAAAGTTGGGCCTTTTTAAAAAGTGTCTTTTAGCTTGAGTGGATTTCGGCTCTAACCAAGAAGATCCACACAGACAAATGTCCATATGAAGTAGGTCTAAATCTGGGCTTTCTTCCCCACACAGTCACACACAGGCCTTTGCTGTTTGTATCGTTGTGCGCTGCATTTGCCTCGAGGTGAAACAAAGTCAGCTGTCTTCCCATCATCACTGCTCTGCAGCCATGATGGACGACGTGGGATTACCGTCAAATGTTCTCCCACGAAGGGCCAACAGTCAAGGCTGGTCACACACACACATTGCTTCCTTTTTATATTGATGAGTATCTCTGGATCTGTGCCCGGCCGCGTGCTTTGACCCCTTGATCCCAGCGTGCCGTGGAAGACGTCTGCGAGAACCTTGTGAGTTCATGGTTTCCCTTTTGTCTGCCTGGCACTGAAACATGCGATGCACGTGTGAACAGATTATACACACGTTCCCTTTACACGCCGGATTTCATTGGCGGAAGCTTGCTGATTTGAAGAACCACTGGAACCAGTTATAAAGAATGAAAATAAAAACACTTGTGTGCAACTTTCACAAAGCAAAGTAGTGTTTTTATGTGAATGCTCACATCATGACGCTGCTAACATGCTAATGTTTATCGGGTGTGATGCCAACACTGTGTGTCACCTTAGTTTGGCGTTTTCGCATGCTGACATTTGATGATTCCCACTAAACAAAGGCTGCAGCTGGTGGGACTGGCATTCATTTTGCAGAGTTTTGGACATCAGGAAATTTCTACTCTGATGTTGGAGCTAAATAGAAAGTTACAAATCACTAACGGGACATAAATCCATCCATCCATCCATCGTCAAACCGCTTATCCTGCAAACAGGGTCGCGGGGGGGCTGGAGTCCATCCCAGCCAACTTCGGGCGATAGACGGGGTACATCCTGGACTGGTCGCCAGCCAATCGCAGGGCCACGGGACATAAATGTCTGAGCCAATAGCTGGCTCAGACAATGGCAATAGTTTTTGTAAGGGGTATTATTAAAACGTAAAATGTCAACCTCATGGTGATGGTTAGAGGGAGCTTTACATTCAGTTGGATTCATCCTCTGGGAACCATGAATGTCTCTTCAAAAGATCAAAGCAATCCAGTGAGTATGGAAATATAGTTTAACCCAGAGGTCTTCAACGGGGGGTCGCAAACATTTTTTTTTCCCCCCACAAATTTAAATGTCTTAATGAATGCAACATATTGTAGCGAACAGATTGATGGAGAAGACGTTATCTTTCAGTTCACACACTCAGCTTCCCTCAGCAGCTCTCAAGCTGGTTCACTCACAGCTCCTCATGCTGATACGACATCACAGGCACCAGCCAATCAGATCCATTCATGCTCACGTCTAGAGAGCGCGACGCTCAAAAGTAAAAGATGGCGGACCAAACCCCTTAGAATAGGGGGTCCCTGCTCCATCTCGCCATCAGTTTGGGGGATCTTGGCCTGAAAAAAGACCCCTGGCTTAACCCACTGGGGGGGCTTGATTAAAAGTCATTGATCACCAAAGTCAGCAGGATTAAGTACAAGTGTACAAATTGAATTTCAGAGTGAACTGAAATAACAAGACGAGATCACAGATTTGGATTTCTACCAAATCTTGTGGATCAGTTTGCTGAAAGGTACGTCGTTGCACGGCGATGATCCCATTTGTGCCTCCTGGACTTGGAGGCCGGTTCCATGCGGCGTCAGATGGTGCGTGGAAGCGGCTCCGAGACAACGTCGCGAGCCGAGAGCGTCCTTCGCCACAAAGAGACGGAGACGGCTCTCCCGCGGGGGGGCCCGGGGTTGTTGTTGATGCAGGAGTGCCTCCCTGACCTTGAATTCAACTAGCGGACCTGATTGCTCGCACGCAGCGATGAAAAGACACTCACACTGTTGCCATTCAGCCGCTGACAACGCGCACATTGTGCGGGCGCGAACCGGCACCAGGGCCATGTACTCTCTTTGATGCGCGGCAATAAATATTGGGATCGTTTGAGTGCAAGCAATAAAACGTGGTTAATTTGTTTATGTCACCATGGCGGAGATCCTCCCGGTGACTGTAAAACATCCCTTAGGAAGCAACAGTTCCGCCACATTAAATCAACCAGCCGAGTCATGTGACCACCGCATCTCCTGTTGCCTGTGTGTGTTTACATCACTGTCTACTTCGGTGGGGAGGGGGGGGCTGAGTGCGGGGTGGAGTCTCGGCGTTGCCACGGCAACAGCCTCAGTTATGTAACATCATATGGGGCGGTGTAAACAAAGCATCCAGCCACGCCAGAACACACAGAAACTGACATTTTGCTCAAACCAATGTGCAGCAGGGACGTATTAAAGTCTTAAAACCCTTTGTTGCACTGATGGTTATGATGCAGTGGACACTGTACTTTGGTCACTCACCGCTCACGACCATGCACGGTGCATCTAAACCCAGCATTCTGAGATGTGGCTTGTTGGGATGCCGACCGTCTGTTTGCACTCTGCGTTCAAAGGGAAAGCTGTCTGGTGCATATGGAAGAGCTTATCTCAGCAGGACAGCCTGGGTGTCAAAACCATTGTGGCGTGTTTATACTGCGTGTTTGTGGCCGGTTCCTTAAACATCTGCAGCAATAGGAAGTGTTGAGAGGCAAGAAAGGATGAAAGGATGCCGCCCTATAAATACTTCAGCAACATCAATCTTTATCCAAAACGCCTCACTGCGTGTGCCAAGAGAAATAGGACACAGGCATTCCCCCGTGAATACTGGCTTTCTTTACAAGGTCACGTTCAATAAATATCTATTTTTGATACAAAGGGAAACAAAACTGCACAAGAACCCCCCCCCATGAATATCAGCTCCAAAGGGACACAAACAGCAGAGCCTTCCCTTCACATTAGAGGCTATTCTGCCGGGCAGCTGTGAATATTCTCTGTAACCGCTGCAGGATAACGGGACTTACTGACATTGAGGGTTTTAGGGGCAGTCCCCTCCTTCATTATGACTGATCAAACAGCTGCACGGACAAAAGTTCAATGCTGCGTTCAAAGGGAATCGGGCCGACGGACGAGACCTTCTGGACGTCGGAACAAAACATGCTTTTCTTTCAGATATAACAAAGAAACTTTGAGAATGAAATAAAGAAAGTAATTGCAGAAAGAAAACAGATTTCATGTGTACAGAAACATTATTAAATTGTAGGAAAAAAAAAACATTGATGAAGAAGGTAAAATTGCCACAGTAACGTTTTGAAGCCTCAAAACAACTAAACAATGGGACTTATTTTTGTAATCAGAGGAGTTGGCCCCCCGAGCAATGAGAACCCTACTGCTGTTTACTTGTATGTGAAAAGTAAGACCAATTGTTTCTAAAATGACCACAAGCTAGTCATTTTTGAGTTACTTCAACGGGTTGCAGTAACTAATTATTTTAAACCGCAAAAAGTGCCATTGTGCAGGAACGTAAAGCCAGATATTTTCAAACTATTAGGGGAGAAGAGCAGCACCTCCCTTTGAGATTCCATTAAAATCTACAGACTTAAATAGAAAAACTGCATTTCTACTAAACCAAAAAGACGAGCTTTAAAAAGTCTTTGGCTAACAGACAGGCAGCTGAGGGCTCAGTTAACCAGCAGTTGCACTGGGACTACTTTGTCTTCTCAGGAAAACTGCGGTTTTGTAAAAAGGTTTTCTAACCATACACACTCCCTCCCCCTTCTTGCCTTTTTCATCCTGCGCTGAAAAAAAGCAAAAACATCAGAAAATGTATGTGGGCGTAAAGACAGCCGTGAACACACAGAGCAATGTCTCATTCTGAGAAAAAACTAAACGCAGAAGCTTCTGTTGCCATTTGATATCATGCCAATTGTCATTAATTGGTGTATTTCAGAGGAAACTGGAAATCCCTTTGACATGCACATAAATCATGGAGAAAACATTGCATCAATGTTGAGATCGAGGTGAAAAGGCAACACTTTGTTCCTAAACTTGCACATAAAAAAAGTCCCACCATTCAAATGTGGCATTTGAAGTTGGTGCAGTTGAAACAGGTGAGTCATAAAGCAGGAAGTCTGCAGGAAGCCTGTGATATGAAGGTGGGTGGATGTCACACAATCACTTATTAATGGGTAGATCTGCCTCACTGCAGCAAAGCCTTGACTCTCACACGCAGCTCCTGCTGCAATTGCAGCTTGATATGAACAGTTTGAAACTTTAAAATCTGCAGTTTCAGTAATCTGGGTCATCTAATTTCAGATCAACACCTTCAAATCCAAACAAACGAGCCTGTTTTTAATAATTGTGAGCTAATTAGCGTTCTCATACACATGTTGCTATTGATCTGTGAATACATTTCTGAACTTTTGTTTCATTCACAAAGTTATTTGAGAGCTATATTTCTGACTATATTTGCAATTAATAGCATGACCTTTTTGGTCTGTGTGGCGTGTCGTCATTGCTGGACCAACTCAGGCTCATGGTGATTAGAGCACTGCAGACAAGGGGATAAAAATAACAGCAGGGTGTCCTCTTGGTGCGAGACGTACTATCACCCAGGCAACCGATTTCCTCTGCCGCCATTGACACAAAGATCTAAAGAAAAAGATATCTGATCAAATGTGAATGATCATAATCACCCGATTTCTGACATTTAAAAAAGGAAACGTCCTTTAGACAGTTTTTGACTGTGGCTTGTGAGAACGTGTTGCATTGGGGCGGACTTGTTTCATGGTATTTAGCAGAAATGTCCCTCGACATTGCTCATCACTAGCTTTGAGCCAACGGCCTAAAGGGTTCGCTGAGATAAAGCTGCAATGGAAAGATGTGACTCAACGTGGAGGACAGTGTGAATTCATGAAGGTAATTTGACTCATCGTGTCGTCCTCAAACGGAGTGAGACCTACAGACGTGGTCATTTTCTAAAGGTCTGATCCAAATACAAACTTTAGGGCATGTTATGTACATATATTACTGATGCCATAGTTGTGAAACATCAACTGAAATCACCTGTCATTCAATTTAAGAGCTGTCAAGGTAGTAAAAGTTGCTTATAAAACCAAGAAACAATGTCTGCTTTGGGTAAAGCTGTAGCTCCTCTAGCCTGCTAGACTCTTCTGAGATGGGCTGAAAAACAAAACAAGCTTCCACTAACTTAAAAAAACTATGTAAAACAAACTGACACAAACACTTGTTGGTATGTTGGCAAGCTGTTTGCAGAGCGTCCTGTTTCAACATGCGCCATTAACCGCTGCTACAAAGTCACATTAGTTTTCTCGTTCCACAGGCTGAACAGACATTCTATTTGAATTCAAAATGTGCTGAAGGTCATTGCAGTTCATGGTTTTCTGTTTGCAGAGGTCAAAAGATTATTCATCACACAAACGTACGGGACAACGAGACGAATCGGGCACAACTCACTGCAACAGATTTGTCCGTTAGGAGCATTCAGACGCCTTTCATGTAACACGTGTGTGGGAAAGGTTGCATCCCTCAAAAGTGCTAAATTCATCATTGAGAACATTTCTAATGACTGCACATGCCTCCTTTCTAATTTTAGATGTTTTTGTATCTTCTGTTGGTTTTTGGTCCCAAGAAAAACAATACAAGCAGACATGTTTACATGTTTTAAGTACACAATGAACTTTGCAATTTAATTTACAAAATCTCCAATGTTTTTTATTATACCGATTTACCTAAAGTGAATCCCCCTTATTGCGAACAAGGCCAAACTGGTGAAAGGAACGGGTCTAGGACGCTGTTGTTGTTTAGCACCAACAGCGGCCCGGGAGTTTCTCCGCGCTTTCTGATCCCTCCCAACAAAAACGGATCTTGGTGCAAAATATGGCCTCCTGCAGGTCTGTGCATGGGAAAGCCCGGTCGGTGGTGGCGGAGGGGCACAGCGTGACCTGACAACAAGGAACCTCCGGGAAAACCGTCAGTCCTAAAGTATGTGCAGGAGAGCGAGTGCGTGGGGGTCCAGCAGGGGGCACCACGACAAACGACGCGACCCGCGGCGCCTCTCGCAGCGACCAGGAGCCACCGACACAGCGGCGGCGCGAGGGAACCACGACGTTTAGCTTAACGAGCGCAGAGAGAAAACACGCGGACGAAATTCTGTCCCCGGGGGTCGTCGGCCTTGCGGCGGCACACCGGCCGTCGGGAGCCCCCCGTTGCCCGGAGAGGACACCTCGTGGCTGGGAGGCGGAGACGGGACCCCCGTTGACGTCAGTGGGCCTGTCTGTTTCCTGCAATAGAAAGTGAGAGAGAAGGTGAAGGGAGAAAATACAGCGCTGTAACCCCCCCCTCACCTCCTCCTTACGCCAAAAGGTGTGTTACAACCCGGCACCTGTGAGTATTCATGAACCCAGCTTGAGTGCGCTTGATTTGTTTGTCCCCGTGTCTTCGTGGCGGGGAAAGCCGCTGCCCGGTGGCGGGGTTCTGTCAGCGGGATTTAGGTCGCTGTCGGTAGCTGCAGCCGCGGAGAAGTCGGACATGCTTTCATCGGTGTCCGCCGTGCGTCTCGTCCGGCTGTAGCCAGCTGCGAACTTTCCACGAAGTGTACGTTGTTAACGTAGGAGACCGGCACCGTTGTGTGTGTGTGTGTATTTTTTTTTGGCGCAGTGTTGTGTTGGACTTGTGCAGCAAACCGCGCTCCCGAGGAGACAACTTGAGCTTTGCCGGCGGCGACGCTTCTCTACACGTCGCTCTTTGTTGCCCCACTTGTTGTTTAGGTAAGCCACACGCTGCTGCCCCCCCCCCTTCATTGTGTGTTCGCGGGGTCACTGTCATCGCGGATGAAACGAGCATGTGCGGCGGCGGAAAAGGTTTCCCGGCCGCGGCGCGTGCCCGCTCGGATTGGAGCTGCGGAGCCGCTGAGGGGTTTTCCCAGGCTCCTCCCCCCTCGCAGGGCGTTCACGTGTTGCGACACGCACGGAATACGCTATTCCCACGCATTGTTTTTGCTGACTTCATTGCTGCTCCTGTTTCCTTCCCGCCGCCGCGTCCACGTGACCTCGCGACAACTAGGAGAATCTTTGTATCAATCCCGTATTCCATCTCATCTGATTGATTCGCGTCATGTCTCACACTCCGGGACGACGCGTGACTGTGCGCGCGTCGCCGCCCGCCACTGCCCTGCTTTTTTATTTATTCATTTTCAACATGTTTTTATTTTTTGTACATAACACGCCGGCGGTGGATCCTCAGGTGTGCGCAGCAATCACCATTAGTCACCTGCAAGCGCCTCCCGGCGTGGCCGCGTGAGGACATTGCGCACCGCGCGGCCTCTCCTCCTTGAGTCACCGGTGTGTTTCTCTTTCTACCCTCGCTTTCGGCATCAGGGTGTTTCCTCAAAATATCGGTACGCACGCGCGCGCGCGCACACACACCCCGAGACCGGCTGCGAGACGCGCCGGGGAGACAGATATGTGCACGTCTCTCCCTCCTCTCCTCCTCCTCCTCCGCCGTCGACCCTGAAACCCGAATTGCGCATCACAGGTGAGACGCGCGTTTCCTGATCGTGTCACTTCAGCCTCCCCCGACCTCGATGGGTTTTAGTGGCGACCTGCTGCAGCTGCCATGCGCACGCACGCACCCACCCACACACCGACAGACTCACGCACGCGCGCAAGACTCTCTGTACCGAAATTCTCCGTGAGGTGATGTCATTGCCATAGCGCCACATGTATCCACTGTATGGAGCACAAAAACCCTCCTCCAGTCGTAGTAAGTGTTATGTAATGCTGGGGGGGGGACAAAGACTCATTCCTGGAGCTCTCTGCAGCGTGCATCGCTCCTGGCTCGAGGTAGAGGTGTTTTGTGTGTGGTGTGGATGGGGGGGGCGCATGGGGGAGGAAAGCTAAGGAGAAAATGTGATTTATATCAGATGCTCATTCATGGTGTTTTGATTGTTGTGTGTCTGCACAGAGGTGAGCTCTTCTTCTGCGGTTGTTTGTGCGAACACTCCGTTGACACAAAATGGGGGTTTCTACATGTTGCTCACATTTTTGTTTTTTTTAACCATTCAGCATTCGCATGAAACTTGCATTAAGTGTCCCTCTTGTTAAAGCTGCGTCGGATTGGAAGCCAAAGTGCTCGTCCCCATTGTTTGCATCCTTCATCATCCTCGCAGACATTCGTCAAAGTGAAGAGCGCGCCCCCCACACCTACCAGACACTCACACGTCAAATCAGTCGAACGCGGCGGCCGATCCCCCGCCTGTCCGAGATGAGAGCGGCAGATAGCAGCTGCTGCACAGGTTACAGTGATATTATGATATTAGGGGGGGGGGGCATAGTCACACTTCCTCCTCGCAGGCGGCAGCCCGGGTCTCACAGAGCAGAGGCTTGCAATGATGAGCTGGGCCTTGATTTGAGGGCACCTGTCTGATCGGGGGTCTCTGCCCTGAGGCGAGAGCTTCAGGGCCAAATGGATCTCACCTTTAGCTCATTCTGACTCACCGTGTACATACGTGTGTGTGTGTGTTCACTGTAGATGAACCCTGCGGATCAGGAGTGCACTCTTCTCGAGGTCCGACTTTCCCCAAGATGCAACCCGTGAACTGAGGGCGGAAAGATGCCGCGCACCAAACAGAACAACCCGAAAAACCTAAAAGGTGAGTCCCCCCCCCCCCCCGCTGCGCTCTGCGTTTCCTGCCAGCCGGGGTTTGGATGTTCACGAAGGCCTGAAGAGGAACTGCTCTGCAGAGCGAGGAGGTCATTTCAGTTTGCTGCTGGTCGGAGACGTTTGTCTTCCTCGGTGTCCTGTAATACCAGCTGGTACGGTGATGCTCGGCTTTGCCGGCTGAAGTATTTGTCTTTTTGTTTTTAGACCACGCGTCCACCGATCCATCTCTAAAGTGACTAAGTGCTAAATGTTGTGATATCTTCCTACGCCCCTCATTTTTGATTGTGTCGCCAAACATTTTTCACACCACAGAAGAGTGTGAAAATACTATCGTTTTTGAAAAGTCACTTCTCTTTGGTGTTTGAGTGCCCTCGTGCAGAATAGCACGAGGGCACTGATGGGAGGAAGTGTCTCTACTGTAACCCTGGCTTGTACATGTATGTGTGATCTATTAGAGGAATCAAAACTAGTTTGCAAGACTGGAGACATCTTGTTTACAGCCGTTAAACATTCTCATAGATTAGTGGGTCAGTCTTCTTTGTGTGGGCATGTGGGACGAATGCAGTGCAGATGGTCGGTCGTGCAGCAGAAAGCACTGAAACTAACGGCTGCAATGTCACATAGAGGAGCATATTGACGCGAACCGGGCTGCCGTGGTGGAGAAGCAGCATCTCTGGTAAATTCTGTCATGTGGGGAGAAATGACCGGTTTCACGTGGCAACAGACGTTTGCCGTTCACGGATCCACCAATTTGCAGCGCCGCACGCCGGGCGTGAAAGTGTGCGTCGGTGCCGCTCCACGCGACAGATTCCCTCAAATCTGTGAGCGCCTCTGTTTGTCCCTCATGCAAACACTTCCTGTGCTTTTGTTTTTACCCGCCAAGCAACGTAAATAATAATAGAGTTTTGGAACGATAGAAACGGCGGCCAGATCAAACTCGACTCTGTTCTTCCCGGTGTTTGGGGCTGAGTGTACCGGGGGCGCCTTTATTGTGCTTTCACAACGTTGTTGTATCACTTCTTTTGTCTTATTTGGATTTATATCTACATCATTTAACGTTTAGAGAGGCAGTAGAAACGGAAACAGTGCCTCCTGTCCTGCACTTTGTGGTGTTTGCTTGAAGTCGTTCTTCTTCTCCAGCGTTGGTGAAATTGCTCAACGTGTTGTGGGGAGAAGCCCGTCCGCTTCCTCATCACCGGATTAGTCACTGAGATGTGCGTTTGATTTCCCTTGAAGCCGTGCCATCGTGCCATGTGACCACACGCTTGACCTCTGCCGTGGAGAACATCTTTCCCTCTCGCCACACTGCGCCAAAGCCGCCGCGTCGGCCAAAGGAACTCGGAGTATTGTATTTTTGTAGCTCAATGAGCGAGCTGGTTTATTGACGCCGCCCCGACCCGGCTGCACCTCCGTCAGGTGGAGCTCTGCCTTGTCTGGCGTGGGAGGGTGCGAGTACGAGCATGCTGCCAGTTAAGTTGCAGTCTGACGGAGTTCTGTTCTTCACTTTTGAGTGTGTATATTTTTTATGACTTCCAATGCACTTTTTGATTGTAAAATATAGATTAAAGCAGCATTCCCAAAAAGATGAAATAGCCTCGCTAGTGGTTGCGTGCTAATACCTGGCAGTAGGCCTGAGATGATCGCTTTCTGTTGTGAAAGAGCTGTGGATCAATAAATAATCATTTGTTCATGTTCATTTGAAGGCAGTTTCATTGCATAATCATTTATTTAACAAAAAACTCATTTTGTTCAGCTTTCAATCATTAAATCCAAAAATAAGAATCCATTCCTGTGTACATAGTTATGAGCGGATCAATACCACTGCCATCGTGTTTGATCCCTTACCAGAAACTTCCTGGATGTACTTTGTAATATGAAACGTAATAAACCACCACATGTGTTTATTCGTGCTGCTGGTCAGTCCGGGCTGTTCCGTATCTCGGGAAGCCCTAGAGGGAATTCTTCAAACTTGGCGGAGTCCTTGGTATGGACCTACATGGGAACTGATTAAATGTGGAGGTCAAAGGTTCAGTGTGACCTCACGTGTGTCCAATTTTTATGAGGTCATAAGCAAAGTTCCTCAATCTTTGCACGAGGGAGCACATGAGCTTGTTTGTTTAGGTCCTGGTGGTCAAAGCTCACGAAACACGATTTGGGCCGTACGTTCATTCCTAAGTTTTATGAAAATATCCCACCAACGTACTGATACAATATTAAATGGGGATGTTTTAGGTGGATGTAAAGTGCTACTTGACCCTAATGGCCGTTCTTCTTGTGGCAACTCTCCGGGATTTCAACTCGATTTCACAAATGTTTCATGAACCCTTTTGCAGACTGTCAGCATACAGCTCCGGCGCTCCCAGTGTCTGCGGGTCGAATGACGCAGTTTGTGGGCAGAAATGCAGGAAGTTCGGATCCCCCCCCCCCTCCTCAGAGCCTTTGTTTACATGTGTCACAGCTGGTCTCCAAGCAGGGACACACAGTGGTTTCCCCCTCAGACTGATTCACTCCCTCTGCGGACTGCAGCATAAGACAAATAACACTCCGCGCTCACAGGCAAACTCTGAAGTGATAAGATGTTAAACTTTCTCTGCATTTCATGAAGAAAGCCTAAAACCAACACGCGCTGGTAAGTTATTCAGACTGTGTAGTTCCTCTGACTAGATCCAGAGGAATCTAGTCTAGAATCTATTGACGGTGGCAGCTTCTCCGAGTGTTGGTGCTGCTCTGAAGGTCTGGAGGTTTGTAGCTCTGGTGGGCGACGCAGGCAGCGCAAAGCTAAACCACGACACACGTTTATCACGTTGAATAATGATTCACCCTGCGGCGCCCACCTGTACGCTCCCTTCTCAATGTGCATGCAGTCCCTGTGGTGCAGCGCGCTGTGGGACGCGTGGCCTGGTTATTCAGTCAGTCACAACGGAAAGAATGCGACCTGAAGTTAAAAACCCACCGCTTTACAAATGAGTGCAGCTCATTAACCTTTCTGCTGCTTCGCCTGCCTGCCTGCATGCAGTGACTGCAGTCCCTCCCCCTCTGTTAGTGGGTCGGTGATGGAAAGTAACACGGCCAGCATTGGGTGTATATATTCTACTTTTCACCGGTCTTTATTTGTCTGACAGCTCTAGTTACGCACAAAGCTTTTGACCTACTTCCTGTCCTGCTCTGCAGAAGGTTTATGACTTGTTTATGATTGTCTGGAACGCGCTTCGTCACAAAGCTGAGAACAGGACAGTTTCTCTCTTTCTTTCTTTTTTAGAGATACGTGGTACTCGCAGGTCAAACACTCAAAGGTCTCATAGAATATGATGCATTGCTGTAGATTGAAAGCAACCAAATGCACAACGCTCATTAATCCAGAAAAGCTGCTGTGCTGTTACTGGACTTTGACTTGAGTTGGAGTAATGTCCGTGTGTGTGTGTAAAGGTGCGGGTTCTTCTTCCAGCGTGCCCCTGGAAATGCCCAGACTTGTTAGCAACACCAGTGTTTATAGAAGTGACTCTTGCATTCCTGCTGTCTTATAAAAAGGCTCCTTGCACCAGAGCCCGACAGGTCTTTAGCTGAGAACATGCTGCGTGATAAATGGTGAACAACTGCAGTGAAAAGGCTGCGTGTGCGTGTGTGTTTAACAAGGTGGAAAATGTTTACACCCATGAAGCCACTGCAGAAGACGGAGACGGAGTTTAGAACCATCTCCCCTCCCACGACATTCTTCACCGTGCTGACGGGGAAGTTTATGCACAGAAATCAAAAGTTTGCACGTTCCGCTCACGGCGGCTGATTAATGTTTGGTTTTATTGGGCTCAGAATTCTCATCACCAGCCACCTTTTGACACGACAACGGAGGATTTCCGTGTGTTTTTTCTTCACCACCCCTGTAATTTATAGCAACGTGCGACAGTTTCCTGTTATTGGTCGGCTCTGCTTCGGACCTCAGCGCTGACTGCGGTTGAATGTCCGGGGTCGGAATGAGCTGCTCTGATAACCCGAGGATGGACCCGCTGGACACAGAGCGGTTTGTTTGTTGCTTTTAAAGCCACAGAGTCGGTGCTGTTTCTCTGGCCCTCGTTCTGAGCTGCGTTTCACCCTCGCCGTCTCGAAAATGAAGGCCGGAGAGGTTTGTGCTCCTCTGTCAGCTCCCCGCTCGGCCTTGTGCTCTTTAACCTGCCACCAAGCTCCCGATCCATTTTAATCCCACAGTCAAGGTCTCACCGCTGCCTCCGCCACCTTTGTACAAAACTCACTGAGGCGTATCCAAAATTAGAAATTACAAGAACAAATACTGATTTGGTTGAAAGATTTCCCCCCAAATTACTTCGTCATTAATTCATTCGCAGACATAATGTTCCCTGAAGTTATTGTCTTGACTATATTAATTCATTTTGACTGGTTTAAAGTCCGTTTCTGCCGGAAAGTTACTCGTAATGCCCCTTTCATTTGGAACGGACCCACTTGTTAACTTTGCACATGTCTGTGTTTGAGAAGAACGTTCAGACACGTTGTGGCAGACAAATCTCTTTATTTTGATCCAAACCACAGTGTTTCCTAATCGGTAACCGTGGTGACGTTACTTCTCTTCATCGTCAGAGATGAAGCCCTGTTAACATTTTGAATGCAGGACTTTTAACTGGTAACCAAGTATTTGTGCACTGCAGACTTTACTTGTAAGGTAAAACAATCAGTCCACCACGTCCCGTGTGTGAGCTAGTTAGCTTAGCCGTAATCATTTGTAGGTTTTAGGGACCTTGCAGGTTTTAGCTGGTTATTCATAAGTTTAGCTTTTTAAAAGTTTATTTCATGTGGTTATACGCACTCTTGCACCATGTTGTGTTGCTGGGACACCCACCCAGTTGACCCCTCACTGGTTCGTACTGTTATAAAAGCATTGGTCTGAAGCAGAGAAAGGGTTAACGCGTCGCCCCGCGGCGATTGGATTTTTACATGTTGGATCATGCACAGGCAGACGAACTGGTCCTTTCGATTCCCCGT